TTTGGAAAACATTTCAGTTGGCCTTCAGCTACCCAACAACTACCCTCCATTCCCAGACAGTTTGAACGGAACTTTGAAGTAGGTCCCCCAACCCTAGCTTAAGTTCGTGACCAGTGTAGCTAATCCTTGTCGGGTAGAGACAGTTATCTACCTCAGTACAATGGAAAGTTGGTCGCGCAAATTCGTGGATTGGTTGATGTTAGAAACCATCACCATTGGATGCCGGCTCAGTGGTCCGGTTGGTTAAGCGTCCGCGCGCTGATGGATATAACATGAGTTTTATAATAGAAGGAATTTGTTTTAGATCACATGTATGTTATATATATATGGTGTACAATCAAGTTTGATTGAATCAAAAGATAAACTCTAATGGTGAAGAAGATTTGTAGCTCAGGTGGATGATTTTTGATGGAGTTTTGTTCTTTGAGCTGGATAGTTTGGTCGTGGAGCTTTCATCATTCTTATGAATGATATCATCAGTACAAACTTCAGATAGAACCAAAACCATCCAGCTCAGAGAACAAAACTCCATCTAAAAAGATAAACTTTTGTGTTTTTATGTTTGAAATATACGAAATGAATAAATAAATAAATAAGTGTTGTGAATAAACAAAGTCAAAATGTAAATTTGATGTTATAAGGGTATTTAGATTGTCGTATGCCTTGATGGCAATGGCAGTGAAGTATGACCGGTAAGAGTAGAGGATATTTGTAGGTTACTAATATTTGATCATAGGTGTCTTCGAATCATTACTGGTATATCCTGAGAACACCGTGTAAGTAATGCAGTTGTTAGGAAACGGGTACTAGGTAAGGATGGCAAATCAATTAATGAACTAGTGGAACTTCATCATTTGAGATGGCTGGAACATGTGTTAAGTATGACCAACCACACACTACTCAGACGAGTGTTATTTTATGGTGTGGGAGTAGGTTGGAAGAAAGCTAGATGCGTCAGACCAAAACATTGGCACAAATCCATAAAGTCACTGACAAGTGAACTGAGTGAGCCATGTTGGTAGGTGTTTTCTTTTTTTCTCTTTCCAAATGTATTTCACGGGATTATACTCTTTGAATAACATGTTCAAACTCCAGTGTTTTCGATGACTGCTTATACTGTTACTATCTCAACCATTATGGTATTTGAATGGACAATTGTATCAATGTGCTAATGTGGTATGGCAACTTGAACCGATGTACATACGTACGTACGAAGTTCTGCGTTGTTACTAACTGACTGACTGACTGACTGACTAAATCATACATTTACGTTTTGTGATATTTATATAAGAAAATTAAAGGTTAAACTAGACAAAATGGAACATACAAAGACAACAAGATAGTATAGAACAACGATAGGAAATATACCACTCTAAATACTAAAAGTAGCTGGGTATTATTATGGTCGATTTGTTGTAACTAAATAGGTAATCAGAATTATGTGATATATTTACGCAATACATCGAGAACAATCTGATCACACCTAATATACTTGTTAAGAACATTTATATGGGAACACATGCCAAAATGGTTGCAGAAACAAATGGATTCCAATGGTCAAATAAGATCACAGGATAGACAGACATCATCCTCCATTGCGAAACATTTGATTGAGACTAGTCATAAGGTTGACATCAAGTCACCATTTGTTGTGTTATCCAAAAGCCTTCAAGGACGTATACTAAGGTTTATTGAAGCCTTGGCTATATGGAAATTGGAACCACCTTTATGTGTTCAAAAGCAATTTGTCCTTACATTCAATCTACCCTGATAATACTGATTTATTATCCAGATTGGTAATCACAGTTTTTTTTGTGTACTTTAATATTTTTTCCCTTTGTTAAGGGTTCCCTTTAACCTGTCTAGTTGACCTTTTAATTTTCATATATAAATGTTCTTAACAAGTATATAAGGTGTGATCAGATTGTTCGAAATGTATTGCATTATCGAAATTTATCAAAAGGACTGGAGTTGAATTTTATTATGGTATCGAATTTGTTATGAAATGTGGCTAACTGAACATGACTGCCTTAAACTATCTGACTTTCTTAGTAATGTACTAGTGTAGTAAACTAGAACTCAGTTGGAGTAATTTAATTTACTGATTAGTGCAGAACTGTATAGTGCTTTTGTAATCATAATTGACTGATCACTAGGTGATGATCAATGTCATGTATGTGAAGTGCTTATTTAGTGCAGATCGAATGTTATCGACCATGTGCTTTTGCAATATACGAAAGTCATATATTAAGTACATTGTTTGAACATCTTCCTTCAGTTATCCTGTACATACTTCTTCATTCTTCCAATTCAGTTTTTATTCCAATTCCTCTCTGTTGCCTTTTCTCTTTCCTTTATCTCAATCTTCAGCTGACAGACATTCTACTTCCTATTAATGCTACATACTACTTATATCTATCAGCATAAGCAGTATACACCATACTAGTATATGTCACAGTTGAATGGAAAAGCTCACAGAAACTGCACAGTTTTAAGATAGTTGTTTTTTCTCATAGATTACAAAGTAATAAATAACTAAATGCCGTTTCGTCTGTGAATGACATCTTCAAAAACACAAACTCATAGTAGTAGTAGTAGTACCAGCAGCAGCAGCATATTTGTACACACTTACTAATGCCTGTTACTTTCAATTGAGCAGAGGCGGTTGACCATCATTCTCCAACCCAATCTGTTCTCGGCCTTCCTTTCTACTTCTATCCAATTTTCGTTTAATTTTCTCATGTCTGTCTCCATTTCTCGGCCTAATGCTTTCTGTAATCTTCCTCTTTTTCTGCCTTGGCGTTGAGGATTCCATGTGAGGGCTTACCTTGTGACGTTGTTCGGTGTTTTCCTCAATATGTGTCCTATCCACTTCCAGCACTTCTTCCTAATTTTTTCCTCCGCTCGGATCTGCTTTGTTCTCTTCTATAGTAGGTTGTTTGTGATAGTGTTTGGTCAATAGATTCGAAGTATTTTGCGTAGAAAACTGTTTATAAACACCTGTATCTTCTGGATGATGGCTTTCGTAGTTCTCCAAGTTTCCGCCCCATACAGTAGAACTGTCTTGACATTTGTATTGAGAATTCTGACTTTGGTGTTGGTTGACAGTTGCTTTGAGTTCCAGTTGTAAATATACTGCTCTTGTTTTGTCAATCCGCGTCTTCACATCTGCATCAGATCCACCCTGTTCATCAATGATGCTGCCCAAATATGTAAAGTTTTTTACATCTTCCAAATCTTCTCCGTCAATTGTGATTGGATTGGTGCATGCTGTGTTGTATCGGAGAATCTTGCTTTTCCCTTTGTGTATATTGAGACCTATTGCTGCTAAGGCTGCTGCTACACTGTTTGTCTTCTCCTGCATTTGTTGTTGCGATTGCGATAAGAGGGCCAGATCATCTACGAAGTCTAGATCGTCCAGCTGCATCCTAGATGTACACTGTATCCCACGTTCCCCTTCAGACGTTGACGTCTTCATGATCCAGTCAATCACCAGGAGAAAGAGAAAGGGTGAGAGTAAGCAACGATGAATATTTGTGTAAGTTATCAAATACTATAAAGTTAGGTCAAGATTCCATAATAATAATAAGCTTTCAAATAGAAATGAACCATTTTCTTTGTTAGTATACTTTTATCATATTTAATTGTTAAATCTAATTCAAATCATCATAGATAACTTATTAGATGAATACTGATATGTATATTTAATGTATATTGTATCAAATGTATCATTGATACCTCAATGATTTGATGGATCCATTTCTATCAAGATCATTTATAGATGGTTCAATTAATATTACGATTGATAATAATTTATAATAAAAATTAACAAATGCTATTAGAGATACCATCTTGTTAGACAAGTCTATTAAATATACTTTATTCTAATTGGTGATTTAAATGATCCAAACAAAACACAATGTTCATATATAAATTATAATATTCAATTATTATTATTATTATTATACTAAATAGCATTTATTTTCTTTTACTCTTATAATCATGACAAATAAATTGAATGTTAAGTAAGTAGTATATTTTAATCAAAATAAATTTATTCATTTAATAGTTGAATTCATAAGTCAATTGAAATTGTACAATGATGACAAAGCTGGAAACACTGGGTGGCCATTTCGTTCTAGTAGGGGACACCTCAACAGTGCGCATTCACAATCCCGACTCGCAAGATTTGAATCCAGGACCTGTCGGTCTCGTCCGCGAGCGCTCAACCACTAGCATATAGAGCCGGCTTCCAACGGTGTTAATATCTAACCGTCTCTCTTTATAATCATCATATGCTCACTAGTGACGGTATCCACAACGTATTTCCAGAAGTTGTAGTGAGAAGCCGTGATCAATGGAATTCAACCAGTTCTGTTGTGAGATAGTAACTCATTGAAGACAATAGTTGGTGTGTCACTCAATTTCGTGGATTGGTTGAACTTAGACATTAACACTGTTGAATGCTAGCTCAGTGGTCTAATAGTTAAGCGTTCACGCTCGAGACCGATATGTCCTGGATTCGAATCTCGTGAGGCGAGGTCTTGGATATGTACTATTGAGGAGTTCTATACTAGGACGAAACAGTCTTCTAGTGTTTCCACGCTTTCCAAAGTGATCTAGCTTCATTTAACTCATGAATTCATCTAATAAATTCCTATATTATCCTCAAAAATCCTTCTCTGATTATAATTAAATTGATATTTGTTTATATTGTCTTATAGATCTATCATCATTCATCTGCAATCATATTTCATTATTTGATCTTATTTCATTAGATTATTATTATTAGTATCATTAATAATAAACTTTTCAATAAATCAATTAGTTACTGGGTTATCAATTAATTATACCTTTGAAAATGATTCCTTTAATCAAGTAATGAATAATCAATAAATAATCGATAATTTGTTTCCTATAAAATAAAATTTTTTTTTTAGTTAAAACATTCTAATTATCTACAACAGATAAAATTCAATCAATCTAATTCAATTCAATTGATGAATAGTGAAAACATTCTATTAATATCAGATAGACCATTGGTAAATTGTACTTTATATAGTGATTAATTCAATACAGCATTTAGATACAATATTTCCAATTAAATTTTATGGTGAATATTATAAAACAGTTAAAATCTTATCAAACGGTTAGTAACATCAGTTTTTGTTTTGTTCATTTTTTTTGGGGGGTGGGTGGTTGAGGTAGGATGGGATGGGGTGGGGTGGGGTGGGGTATATGTTTTGTTTCATTATCATTGTTTAATTGTTTATTCATTAAATTTATTTCATGTTTACTTAATGAAATGGATTTTATAAATCGAATTTCATTACATGTAATGAATATCTATCTCTTTTCTATTTATGCATTAAGACTGTATTACAGAGAAAATATTCATTTTATAGTATGTAAAGAGTTTGAATTATATTTTTTTCTTATTATGAAATCATACGGTGACGCAATTTTGTGGATTGGTTAAAGTAAGACATTAACGCTGTTGAATGCCAGCTGGCCCAGTAGTCTAATGGTTAAGCGTTCACACGCAAGACTGTTAGGTACTGGGTTCGACTCTCGTGAAGTGTGGTCGCGGATGTACACTATTGAGGAGCCCTATACTAGGACGAAACGGTAACCCAGTGCTTCCAGGTTTTCCATGGTGGCCTAGCATCAATTGGCAAATGATTTCAACGATTGAAATTATAATGTATTTTAAATTGAGATTGTACTTATTAGTCAGTGGATTATGTAATCTTTTTTGGGGAATGATGACAATATTCTGTTGTTAAATAGAAAAAATGCTCTTGTAGGCTTGAAATTGTATTCCTAATGTAGTCACTTATTATTGACTGATAGCTATTGGGTTCGAAGCTCGCGGGTTGGATTAGTGGTTGAGGAATGCTGAAGAGTCTCATACTGTGATAAAATGGCGGTTCACTGCTTCCAGGTTTTCCATGGTGATCTAACCTCAATTGACTCATGTATTCAACAGTTGAATTAGATATAATTCGTTTTATTATTATCGCTACTCAGTTGATGAGCTAATTATACATCAAGAGTTTTAAGTTTTGGTGATCAGACTTGATTGTTGTAATGTGTATAAACACTATGTAATTATATATGATACTAAATACAATCTCAATGCATAAGGCTATACTTTATTTCTTTTTTTCTATATGAGCCTTGTATTCCCCTAGTAATTCTTTTATACAGAGAATAGATCATATTCGTTTAGACTTATTTATTGTAACAATAATTTGTAAAACCTCCTTAACCAAAAGTTCTTTTATAATATAAATTATCACATAACTATCTGAGAATAACTGAATATTTGATATGATGAACAGCTTAGATCTAACAACCAGATAAGTACTTATATATATATGTACTGCGAATCATAAGATTCTTCTACAGTTTTGATAGAGTTTTGTTCTCTGAGCTGGATGGTTTGGTCGTGGAGCTTTCATCGTTCCATCTAGCTCATAGAACAAAACTCTATCAAAATCATCCACTTGAGTTACAAATCTCCCATCCATCATTCTTTTATGATATGGGGTTACCGACTCTCATACACAACCCTCCTCCTTTACTTTGGTTTAAGACTGGCAGTAACTTTAGAAGAGCTATAGAGTTATAGAGTTATATTAACCTATTCTTCATTGTTAATTACTACTTACAAATAATTCTTTTTTAAATATTCAATGAAAAGTTTTATAAATTAAAATGTCTTAAACATTCAAACGGATCTAACCAAATGAAATTTGCTTAATCAATAAAACGTGTCACCAGGTGACTTGTCAACTTATAAAGTTAGAGAAATACCTTTATTATTATTATTTTGCATTATTATCATAGTATTTCATAGTGAAAATAGTTTTAGTTAACTCCAAGAAAAAACGAAAAAACACAGTTGTGCTAGTGTTAAACTAAACTATTGAATTTATTCGCAGCAAGTTTCCAAACGTAGTTGGTGTAAGCAAAGATGGATAGTGGATAACAGTGGAATACAGGACACGTCTTTCGTCCTATTTGAGACTCGTCGGCTGGATGTACCTACATGTCAATCACTATCTATCTTTGCTTATAAAGCTTGGGAATTAAGGCAATATCGAGGCATACGCACAGTATGCACGTATGTCAATAACAGACTGATCAACTGCAGCCTTAAACCTAAATGGTAAGATTCAAGTAAAACAATACGAAGTGAATGTAGATGGTGTAAATTTTAAAATGAATGGTTTTTTATTACTACATAAAACTAATATAACTCTTAGAAAGTTGAATCATTTTCAGTTCATTATTACACTAACACTGAAAACATGGAAGCATTGAATGACTGTTTCATCCTAGGATGGGACTTTAAAACAGTGAGCACTTACGATCACACATACAGGAATTAAACTCAGGACCTCTATTTTGGAACGTCAGAAGTTTAAATTTAAACTAGTGAACCGAAATCCAACAGTGTTAATGTTTAGCTCGAATCAGTGCATGACTTTGAACAATCATCTTCCATTGTTATCAGTAAGTAACTGTTTGAATGCGCTGCGGAGTCCCATATTAAGATAAAATGTCCATCCAGTGCTTACAGGTTAACGATGGTGATCAAACTTCATCGGGTTATGACTATAGTAAATTTAGATAAATTACTTGATTCTTATTGACCTTTATGACTAAGCGATTGAACTAGACTGAAAAAAGTTGTATAAACTGAAGAACTGAATCATTAAACTATCAGTCTATTCTTAATCAATAGAGTCAGTCTTAAATTCTTGTGCTTCATTAAATTTACGAATCATTATGATAGTTTCCACTGAACTATTTCCAACACATACAACATATTTGTTAAACCACCATTGAAAACTTGGAAGTGTTTGACGGTCGTTTTGCTCTATTGTGGGACTTCTCAGCAGTGCACATCCACAATCCCGCTCGTGGAATTCGAACCACTAGAGTTTTCAGTCTCGCGCACGAGAGCTTAACAACTAAACCAGTATCTAATGGTGTTAATGTTTAACGTCAACCAATTCACAATATTACGCCACCATCTTCGATTTTATTGAGGTAGATACCTGTCTCTATCCGACACGGATTAGCTACATACAACACATTTAATAAATATTAGGAATTATTTATTTATTTTTTTACATTAATTCAAGGTATTATAAATATTATTGAGTCAAATTTGGGGAAATTATCTGGAAGCATTAAAGTATTTTATGGAGTTTGGAAAACGGGACAAGTGGATATTATTCAAAATGGTGAGCTATTCTACTATTGAAAGTTTAATTCATTTAGAATAACTTTAGTCATTGGATGTCAGTCAGTTAATCAGTCAGCTACAACGTAGGACCAGGCACATATATGGATCGGTCAAAGTTACCATACCTCATTAACACAACAAGATGAACATCGGATTCATAAAAGTAGTTAATTCAGAGGTGGTAATATATAAAAGAAAGATTGCGATAAGGATATAGTACAAGAAGAAAGAATTAGTTCGTAGAAAGAAAGTTATGAGGCGATTTTAATCTCAGAGTTTAATGGAAGAAGACAGAAGTTATCAGATATAATTTATGTTTAAAAGAAAGCTTTATATTATTCTACGTAATTAGGGTAAAATGTACATTTTCTTTGGTGTCGAACATTCATATCCATAGTAAATAATTAGAAACGATTAAATTTATCAATAAAGTTGTAAAGTTAATTTTTTTAATAGTTGAGATCATGAGTTAATTGAAGGTAGACTACCATGAAAAGACTAGAAGCACTGAATAACTGTTTCGTCTTAGTATGGGACTTTTCAACAGTGCACATCCACGATCCCGCCTGATGAGGTTCGAACTTAGGACATATCAAGCGCAGGCGTGAACGCTTAACTATTAGACCACTAAGCCAGCATTCAACAGTGTTCATGTCTAAGTTCAACCAATCCACGAAATTGAGCGACACATCCACTATTGTTTTCAGTTGGTTACTATCTCATAACTATTGACTCATGATCTCAACTATTAAAATTACTATAATATCCAGAAAAACCCTTCTGATATTAATTTTTTATTCAATGAATTACTAATAATCCGATTCAATTTTATTGTATTTATGGATAAGCTTCTAACAGTAAGATGGCCTAATCTTCACATTTACAATTCACATGGAAAAGAAATGGAAGAACATGGTATGTAATAATCTTGGATACACTTATATATATATATATACATATATTTCAATTGGGTCAGTTGTGAGGTAGTAACTCACTGATGTTGATGGTGGATGTGTCGCTCATTTTCGTGGATAAGTTGAAGTTAGACATTAAAACCATTGGATGGTTACCAGCTCAGTGGTGTAGTTGGTTAAGCGCCTAGCGCGAGACTGATAGGTCCTGTGTTCGAATCTGGCGAGGCGGGGTCGTGGATGCGTGCTGCCGAGGAGTCCCAAAATAGGACGAAATGGCCGTCCAGTACTTCCACGTTTTCCATGATGATCTAGCTTCAACTGACTCATAATCTCAACTGTTGGAATTACTACAATCTTTACAAAACCCTTTCTGATATATTTTTCTATATTAAATAAACCTTTTATATAACTGAAATATTTTACACTGAATAATGACTATCTCCGTAATACTTTAAGTCACATTTTTGTCTAGTCCGTATTGTCGATTGAATTCTATCAATCAGTTATATAATTTGGTTACTAATCTATATGTGACCGATAATCATATTGCCAAAATAGTTTACTAAAATATTCTAAAAAAATATATTTCTATTATATTTACTTCAGTTATAGGCTGAATATGTATCATATTGATTTCAATACTTGGAATTCTGTATTATTATGAATATGACTTGAAAGATTCAAATAGAATATTCATGAAAATAATGAATTGACAAAAAGGAGATATCAACTATATCATTAACAGATGACTTTCTATTATTAATATAACATATAACCTAATAATTATCACATGATAATGAGAATACAACTAATATAAATGTTAACACTGTGCCAAATCAATGATTTATTAACTAATATAAGAAGCCTAAAAGTCTTTATAGATTATGCTTTTAATCATGCTCTACCTGTTGAATCGAAAACATTGATTATCACCTACTATTATATGAATCATATAATTTAGATATACTTCGATGATAGACAAACAAACTTGAATATATCATACTCTACAATTATAATAGAATGAAGACAAAAAGTGACAATGTATGTGAGATATTATAACTAATAAATTGGAAATAACTAAAGAATAGTAAATTGTATAATAATAGTCAATAGGTCAAATGGAAGCTTATCATAAAAGGAATATGAATATATCTATATAATCTAGTTACTGAACAGTTATGAAATATGAATTTATTTCACTGTATTATACTTCAAGTCCTACTGCTTCCGATTACTGCTTATACTTTTACTACCTCTAGCACTACGGGATTTGAATCAACAACTGCATCTCTGTGCTAATGTGATGTGGCAACTCGAACTGATGTACGTACGTACGAAGTTCTACGTTGTTACTGACTGACTGACTGACTGACTGACAATAAAAATATACATGTAGGATAACAATCCATAAACAGTTCGAAAAACTACCCATAATTTAATCTTTGTTGGGATATAAAAGTTATTAGTAATTATTTATTAATTTATTTTAACACATAGATATTGATACAAGGGGGCATTGGATACATAGGCATCACACAAATCTCATTTGATTTCTGTGAGAGCTGTGATACTGCTCGGGTGTCCAAAGCAAAACAGAGTTATGAGTAGTAATATATCAATTATTTGTTAATAATTTTCAGCACAAATAACATGCACAATACATGTTAATGGGAACATATCAATTTTCTTTGAAACAGTAAGTTGACTAATTATTGAAATATTCTATTTCCTTGAATAAGAAAATTAGAATCATTTACAATAATTTTCTGAAAAATTTAAGTTTGACATTAACATTGATGTGTAACAGAGAGTTATCAGAATAGGGATTTTAGTAATTCAATAGTTGAATTCATGAAAAACCTGGAAGTACTGAACGACCGTTGGGTCTTAGTGTGGAAATTCTCAGCAGTGAACTTTCACGTTCCCGCTCGCAGGAATCGAACCCAAGACCTATCGATCTCGCGCGCGAAAGTTTAAACTCTAGAACAGTGGACCAGCATTCGACAGTGTTAATGTCTAACTTCAACCAATAGACGAAATTGAACCACTGTCCATCTTTGTCTTCAGTGAGTTACTATTTCACAACACAGCTCGTTGACCTCCACTGATCACAGCTTCTCACTAGAACTCCTGGAAATACCTCTGCTAAACGTTCAATAATATTAACTTCATTTGATATTGTTAACTTGACTCTTCCACTGCTAGCCACCATCTATCTTTGCTTATAATGATTGTGACTTAAGGTAATATCGAGGCAGTCCGCACAGAATGCACATATGCCAACGAAAAACTGATCAAAAACAGTCCTAAATAACAATGTAAAGATTCAAGTAAACAATACTAAGGAAATTTAAAAGTTCAGTCCAAATACACAAGCAAGTGGCTATTAAAACTCAGTAGCTAAGTAAGCGGAGTTTGAAGTGAACGATACTGGGTTCGAATCGCAGAGTATACATCAACTCTGAGGTGCAGGTACATCCAGTTGACGAGTCCCAAGTAGGACGAAACGCGAGTCAAACTGGATTTCACTGCTTACCATTATCCATCGTTGATTGGAATAATTAAATATTGTAATAATTATTGATGAACTGTTATGAATATAGTTATAAGTTAGTAGGGAGAATAGAATAAAATTAAAATGATAGATTATGTAATATAGAAAGGGAGATTAAGAACATGGAAAATGAGCAACTAAGCATAGTGTAGTCAGATAGAGGTTTTATAGATATCATAATATTTTAACGGTTGAATTCATGAGTCAATTGCAGCTAGACCTCCATGGAAAATCTGGAAGCACTGTATTGTTGTTTCGTTCTAGTGTGGGATTCCTCCACAATGCACGACCACGAGCATAGTACGTTTGTGCGCAAAAGCTAGGGTTGAAATGTTGGTTAATAATAACCTCTGATTTACATAAGTTTTTCACTTACATTCCTATTGAGCCGATTCTTCTGATTGTATATGATGATTTTGATGGAGGCTTCTGATGAAGTGAAGTAATAAGTTTCACTGGTTGAAATCATAAGTCAATTGAAGCTAGACCACCATGAAAAACCCGGAAGCACTGGGTGTCCGTTTCGTTCTAGTATGAGACTTCTCCTCAGCAGTGCGCATCCACGACCTCGCCTCCTGCGAGATTTGCGCACGAACACTTAACCACTAGACCACAACCAATCCACGAAGTAATAAGATGAAAATCATTGCCCTTTTGATAACTATAAAAATGTTGTAATAATTACCAACTAATAATCCTATGAAGATTATTGTAAAAGTTCACTGATTAAAATCATAGTCTAGTTGGTTAAGCGCCTGACGCGAGACTGATAGGTCCTAAGTTCAAATCTCTCAGTGTGCAAGATCATAGATGCGCACTACTGAAGAAGAACCCATACTGAAACAAAACAGCCATCCAGTGCGTCCAAATTTTCCATCGTAGTCTAACTTCAATTGACTCATGAATATCATTAATGTTTATTTATTTTGCCTTTTTATTATTAGGAAGTTAATTATCATTTAATGACAATAATAAATTTTTTTATTAAAATCAATTAGCCTAATTTAATGAATTAAGTTTATCATGTATCATATGATAATCATAATATAAACAATAATAATTTATGGCTTATATTAATAAAGATTAAATTCTTTATCATAAAAACAAAGTTCATTTTAATTTATTAATAATTAATTATGTCATAATTATACTGTATTATGTAACTAAGGTGAATTTAACTTAATTGGCATACAAATTTGTTTGATTGACATCATGAACTAATTGATGTTAGATCATTATTGAAAACCTGAAAATATTTGATGGTTGTTTTGTCTTAGTATGAGACTTCTCATCAGTGTGCATCCACGATCCCAGAGTTTTCGATGTCGCGTGTTCACTAATGACTAGCTTCGTGAAGGAGTTCTCGGGGTTTTAATGAGAAGCTATGATTAGTGGAGTTCAACCAAGTCTGTTATGAGATAGTATATCACTGTAGACAATAATGGACGGTGACGCAATTTCGTGGAATGGTTCAAGTTAGATATTAACACCATTGGATACCGGCTCAATAGTATAAAGGTTAAGTGAGCGCGAAGGAGACTGAAAGGTCATGGGTTCGAATCTCACGGAACGGGATGGTGGACGTGCATTGCTGAGGAAAAATGGTCTGATAAATGTTTCTAAGTTTACCATGGTGGTCTAGCTTAAATCGATCCATGAATCTAAACATGACAATAAAATGTCCTTTACAGTCAACGTTAAACATATTTCCAATTTCACTGTTGTAAAACGTACTATTTTCTACTTTAAATGTTCAAACTAAATTTAGTACGTCATTATTCATTCATTTATGTTAAAATATTCAATTACTAATTTATTTCTTATAATTCATTGTTTATATATTGCGATTTATCAGATACCGAATGGAACATTTAATGAAACAGAAGAATCTATGCCTGGAAGTCCTATATATTATCCAACGAATATTCAAAGTAGGTTGAATTTCATATAAGAGAATCAATGGAATATTGATGATAATTTTATTCAATGCTTTATGTTAAATACATAGGAGAACTCTAAGTAGATGAAATCTGAAAACGTTTTTCGAAATCTTTATATTCATATATTTATATAATATCAAAGTGAGAATCTTCAATACGAACGTCAAGGTAGTTCTACAGTACGGACCTAGAACTTCGAGAACTACAACAACCATCATCAAGAAGGTACAACCATTTATAAATGGTTGTTTACGCAAGATACTCAACACCCATTGGCCGGATACCATCAGCAACAGCCTTTTGTGGGCGAGAACAAACCAACTTCCAGCTGAAGAAGAAATTAGGAAAAAAAGGTTGGAAATGGATAGAACATACATTATGGAACTCATCAAACTGCATCACCAGGCAAGTCCTGACTTGGAATTCTGAAGGAAGGCGGAAAAGAGAAAGGCCAAAGAACGCATTACGTCGGGAAATAGAAGCAGATAAGAAAAGAATGAATAACAACTGAAAATAGCTAGAAAGAATTGCTTTGGACAGGGTTGGATGGAGAATGCTGGTGAGCGGCCTATGCTACTTCATGAGGAGTAACAGGCTTAAGTAAGTACGTAAGTAAGTAAGTAAATAAGTGATAAAAGCTAGAAATCATTTTCGAAGGATTGGAGAATAAAATTTACATGATAATGTTTAGTTGTTGTTTTAGGACTGTAATTGATCAGTTTCTTGTTGACATAAATGTATTCTGTGCGGACTGTCACGATATTGCCTTAAGTCACAAATTTTATAAGCAACGATGGATAGTGGTTAGTAGTGAGATCCAGTTTGACTCGCGTTTCATCCTATTTTGGACTCATCAGCTGAATGTACATGCATAAATCAATATTAGTTAGATACTTTCAACCAAAGAAAAAGATCATATATGAATTATTGTGTTAAAACTTTCTTATCTCCTATGATTTTATATTTTGTTTTTCAAAGTAGAAATATAGAACAAAGACAAAATAGTCAGATGTCTGTTATTGCCTCTTGAATTCTTCAGGTTAGACTCATTCATCCATACACCATAGAATAATTTTCTTATTTCATTATGGTTGATATCACTTAGAGATGAAGACCTCAAATTTAATTTCTTATCCTGAATTTTAATTCCAACTATTAATTTTTAATTACTCACACTAATTTTCAATCCGATTTTTTGAACCGGATAGTTAGATGATACTCGTAAGCTACTAGTATTTGACCACAGATGCCTTAGAAATATTGCTGGAGTCTTCTGGGATAACCGGGTAAGTATTAGTGAGGTTAGACGCAGGCTATTAGGGGATGATGTTAAATCAGTTGATGAGGTTGTTCATCTTCATCGACTGAGATGGTTGGGCCACGTGGTACGTATGCCTGAACACCGATTACCACGACGTGCAATGCTAACCAGTGTTGAAGATGGTTGGAAGAAAGTTAGGGGCGGCCAAACCAAAACGTGGCATCAGTGTTTGAAGTCACTAACTTCTAGTCTGAGACGTGCTGGGAGATGCAGACTACTTGATTGAGGCGCACGTGAATATCATAACCAATGTTTTGAGACTCTTGGTGACATGTCTCAGAATCGACCACAATGGTGTCGGTGTATACACTCTCTGTCTCCCCTTAAACTTACGGATTAAAATCGCTTCATATCTTTCTTTCTACGAACTAATTCTTTCTTCTTGTACTTTATCTTTATTGCAATCTTCCTTTTATATATTACTACCTCTGAATTAACTACTTTTATGAATCCGGTGTCCATCTTGTTTTGTTAATGGCAACTTGGACCGATGCATATATGTGCCTGGTCCTACGTTGTAGCTGACCGCCGGACTGAGTTAGATGATATTTCACAGGAAAAGTCTTTAAATTGATCAAAGTCACTCTCATAATTTAATTCTACCTAATTTTATTTGTATCTTATTATATCAAATGGTAATTTACACGAAATGAAAGACTTGAATGTGATAACTTTACTTACTTACGCACGTCTGTTACTCCTCTTTGGGGAGCATACGCCGCCCATCAGCACTCTACATTCAACTCTGTCCTGTGCCAACTACCACCAGTTTGTTTGAAATGTATATTATTTGTTTGAATGTATATTATTCAATGAATTGTCTTATTATTATTATTATTATTATAATTCGTTTTGTATTGTTCGTTTGAACTCCGCCTGTAGCTCTCATAGGGTTACTGCCGCTCCCAAGCCCGGGTAAAGGAGGAGGGTTGGGCATGGGGTTAGCGTCCCCATCCCGTAGAAAACTAACTGGCTAAAAAAACGCTTACCCGAAAAAATAATCCAAACCATTTAAACTCTGCCCTGGAAGTTAGAAGGTCTTCATTTAGAAGAATTATGACGCTTCATGGTGAAAGCCGAGTTCCTTCGGAAGCCACGAGGCCGATGCCCCTTCTAACAACCAGAGCAAAAATTTTTATAGGTACATGGAACGTTCGAACAATGTGGGAAACCGGGAAGACCAGTCAAATAGCAATGGAAATGAGGAGATACAACTTAGCAGTACTGGGAATCAGCGAAACCCACTGGACCCAAGCTGGACAGAAGAGGCTAGCTACGGGAGAGATGCTGCTATATTCCGGTCACGAAGAGGACAATGCTCCACACACTCAGGGAGTCGCTCTTATGCCGTCCAAAGTAGCACGAAATGCACTTGTAGGATGGGAATCTCACGGATCTAGAATCATCAAAGCATCATTCAAGACAAAGAAGGAGGGGATCTTAATGAATATTATCCAATGTTATGCACACACAAATGATAGCAACGACGACATTAAAGATCAGTTCTATGAGCGGCTGCAGTCAGTCATTGAGAAATGCCCAAGAAAGGACCTAACTATTCTGATGGGAGATCTAAATGCCAAAGTCGGAATAGACAACACTGGATATGAAGATATTATGGGACGACATGGACTGGGAGAAAGAAACGAAAATGGAGAAAGATTTGCAAATCTATGTGCATTCAACAAATTGGTCATAGGAGGCACAATATTTCCACACAAGCGTATACACAAGGCTACATGGATCTCACCGGACCACACTACAGAGAACCAAATAGATCATATTTGCATCAACAAAAAATTCCGAAGGACAATGGAAGATGTGAGAACCAGGAGAGGCGCTGACGTAGCTTCAGATCACCACCTAGTTGTGGCTAATTTAAAACTGAAGCTAAAAAAGAACTGGACAAGTGGACAAACAGCACTACAAAGGTTCAATACAGCCTTCCTTCGAGATACTGACAAACTCAATGAATTCAAGATTGCTCTCAACAACAGGTTCCAAGCCTTACAAGATCTACTGAAAGAAGAAGAAACTAGTATGGAGAACAACTGGAAAAGCATCAAGGAAGCATTAACTTCAACGTGTCAAGAGGTTCTGGGTCTAAAGAAATACCATCATATGGAGTGGATCGCTATAGAAACTCTGGACAAGATCAAAGATAGGAAGAACAAGAAGGCAGCAATAAACAACAGCCGAACACGAGCAGAGAAAGTCCAAGCACAAGCTGAATACATAGAAGCAAACAAACAAGTGAAGAGGAGTATTAGAGCCGACAAGAAGAAATACGTGGAAGAACTAGCAACGACGGCAGAAAAGCTGCTAGAGAAGGAAACATGAAACGGCTTTACGATACAACGAAGAAACTATCAGGGAAATACAGTAAACCAGAGAGACCGGTCAAAGACAAAGAAGGCAAGCCAATCACCGAAATTCAACAACAGCGGAACAGATGGGTAGAACACTTCGAGGAACTCTTGAATAGGCCGGCTCCAATGAATCCACCGGACATCGAAGCGGCACACACAGATCTTCCCATAGACGTCGACCCACCAACGAGGGAAGAAATCAGAATGGCCGTCAGACAAATCAAGAACGGGAAAGCAGCGGGTCCGGACAACATACCAGCTGAAGCACTGAAGTCAGACATCGAAGCAACTACAAACATGCTTCACCTTCTATTCAAAAAGATTTGGGAGGAGGAACAAGTGCCGATGGACTGGAAAGAAGGGCATCTCGTCAAGATTCCAAAGAAAGGAGATCTGAGCAAATGTGAAAACTATAGAGGCATTACACTGCTGTCAATACCAGGAAAGGTCTTCAACAGAATGTTGCTGAACCGAATGAAAGATGCAGTAGACGCCCAACTTCGAGATCAACAAGCTGGATTCCGTAAGGATCGATCATGCACAGACCAAATTGCAACACTACGGATCATCGTCGAACAATCAGTTGAGTGGAACTCATCACTATACATCAACTTCATTGATTATGAAAAAGCATTCGACAGTGTAGATAGGAGGACATTATGGAAACTTCTTCGACACTACGGAGTTCCTGAGAAGATTGTCAACATTATCCGGAACTCATACGACGGACTACAATGCAAAGTCGTGCATGGAGGACAGCTGACAGATGCATTCCAAGTAAGGACCGGAGTCAGACAAGGCTGTTTACTCTCTCCCTTCCTCTTTCTTCTGGTGGTCGACTGGATTATGAAGACCTCGACATCTGAAGGAAAACACGGAATACAATGGACAGCTCGAAATCAATTAGACGATTTGGACTTCGCAGATGACCTAGCCCTCCTATCATGTACACACGAACAGATGCAGATGAAGACAGCCAGTGTAGCAGCAGTTTCTGCATCAGTAGGCCTCAGCATACACAAAAGGAAAACCGAAGTCCTCAAATTCAAAGCGGAAAACAACAATCCAATCACTCTTGATAGCGAAACTCTGGAAGATGTAGAATCCTTCACATGCCTGGGAAGCATCATCGATGAACAAGGAGGTTCAGATGCAGACGTAAAGGCAAGGATTGGCATAGCAAGGACAGCATTCCAACAGTTAAAGAACATATGGAACTCAAAACAATATTCAACCAATATCAAAGTGAGAATCTTCAATACCAACGTCAAAGCAGTTCAACTGTATGGAGCTGAAACTTGGAGAACTACAACAACCGCCA